GGAGCGAAAAGGTAGTTTTGGTACATGTTCATATTTAGATTGTTTGAAATCGTAACCAGTTATATTTATTGGTTTTATTATTGGAACATCAGACATAATAAAATAATATTAAAGTTATTTAGAAAATATTTTATATTTACTATTTTATATGAATAGAAGTTATTCAGATTATATTGATATAATAGATAAAGTTTATTCTACTGTTAGTTTCAGATATTCTTTATGTTTATTGCTTTTGTTGTGCCGTGGTATTTCTACCATCCGAATAGTTCTTCCACAGACACAATCTACTTTGATTGCTTCTCTAGAACGCCATTTGTCTTTATTATTTTCATAATATATTTTCTGACCTTGTCGTGCAATTGCTTTATTATCATTGTAATATTGTCTGCGTTTTTCATTCAAGGTTTCTTTGTTGCGCTCACGATGAGCTTTACTGATGTTTCTGATATGCTCCTTGTGTTCATCTCGGTATTTCTGACGGTCGTCATTTATTTTGTTGATATTATCATCATACCATTGCTTTTTACTTCGTCCTGCTACACATTTGTTTATACAATCGTTATTCAAAATGTGTGTGCCTTCACGTTGTAATAATTCTTCTTTACTACTACAGGGGAAGTTTTCAATCAATTCTATTTTGCAATTTTCTACTCCAAATTCATCAAACAACAAAAAACTATTGACATGTGTCACACGTGTTTTATACTGATTTCTATGCTTGGACAGTCTATTACTTAAAGTTTCAATTGTGCTTCCAATATAGCATTTAGTGTATCCAACATCAACAATTTTGTATATTTTACCTCTTTGATATTTGTCCTCCATACTTCACTTAATATCACTTTAACTCACTATATCTTTAATAATGTTTTGACAAAACAATTTTATATCTGTATAACATGGATAAATATATACAAGTGATAGATGAAGTAGAGAAAGTAGAACAAGTTGTTCTAACTGATAATAGATTTAAGAAAGTATGCTATTTTGTTTTAGAATTAATTAAGTTTGTGATACAATATATTAAAAATATAAATATTAATATAGATGGGAAGAAAGAAAAAGAATAAGACCGAGCCAGTTGTTTCTTCATCAGTTGAAGAAACAGAAGAAATTGTTAGAAACATCAGTTATTGAGTTTGCTTGCCCAATGTGTAAAAAGATGTTAGAAATGAAAAATGAATTAGAAATACAAAAGAAAGGACATTGTAAATGTTCGTGTATTCCAACAAGTTTCAAAATAAGTAAGAATGATAAGAAAATGAATATTGATAAAACTAAAGACAGTATAAACTTAGAAACAGATGTTCATAATATTGCTATCAAATGGGGAAGGCATGCATCACCATCCGATAATGGCGATAAGGAAGCACAGGAAACTGTTAAACAAATAATGAAAAATTAGTATTTAAAGAGTAGATTTAACATAATTGCAACATTTAGTTTTAACAGTTTAGTTTTATAATTTAGTATATATTTACATGGATGAAGGATTAGAAAAGATTGTTAAAAACCTGAACAAGGTTTTAGAACAGAATAAGAATATTTTAGAAATCTTGCAGGAAATGGAAAAGAAGAAACCTTTAACAAACAGTTATCAAAGTAAAGAAGTAGATAGAACCAGTGGTGAATATAAAAATAAAAGAAATATTTATTTAAACAAACTTAATAACAAAGAAATTAAAGAACCGAAGTCTTCCACTATGACGTTTTATCAAATTGACTATGACGAGGAAACGCAACTTTATTCATAAAGTTGCATTTAATCATTGAAAACTAAACGTAGTTTAGAATTTAACGAGGAAGCAGGGATTTATTCATAGATAATATTATCTAAATATCTTTAATAATGAACTTATTAGAGATGTTTAGCGGAACAGGTAGTTTTGGACTTGTTGCAAAGTCGCTCGGTTTCAATGTTATTTCATTGGATTTGAAAAATGCCGATATAAATACTGATATTTTGAAATGGGATTATAAACAATTTGATAGGAACCATGTTGAATTTTTCTGGGCAAGTCCTCCATGCACGGAATACAGCAAAGCAAAAACTACGGGAATTAGGAATATCGAATATGCAAATAGTATAGTTTTAAAAACTATCGAAATTATCAAATATTTCAATCCTAAGTATTTTGTAATCGAAAATCCCCAAACTGGATTATTAAAAAATCAGGAGTTTATGGATGAGTTTGATTTTAAAGATGTAGATTATTGTAAATATGGATTTAATTACAGAAAACGCACTAGGCTATGGAATAACCTTACAACATGGAAACCTAGAGATTTATGTAAAAAGGATTGTGGCAACATCAGGAATAATAAACATATTGAAACTGCGCAGAGGCTGCCAAATGGAAACAAGGAAAAATGGGGAGACAATCCAATAATACATAAACAGGAAGACCTATATAAAATACCTAGTAGTTTAATTTGTGAAATCTTGGTGAGTTTGACGGATTAAGGATTTTGAGTTTGGGGTTGGGCTTGAAACTTGAAATTTCTAGGTTCATCCAACAACAAAACAGCATGTTTTTCTTGAAATTAGGTGGGGTTCCCCCTTTTTGGGGCGACTGTTCCCCCTTTTTTGGGGCGACTGTTCCCCCTTTTTTGGGGCGACTGTCCCCCCTTTTTTGGGGCGACTGTTCCCCCTTTTTTGGGGCGACGGTTCCCCCTTTTTTGGGGCGACTGTTCCCCTTTTTTTGGGGCGACGGTTCCCCCTTTTTTGGGGCGACTGTTCCCCCTTTTTTGGGGCGACTGTTTCCCCCTTTTTGGTGCGACTGCTGTTTAATTATATTATGTTATTATAATATAAATTAACATTGTAAAATCTTATATGTTGTAATTATACTATACTTATGGTTTGTAAAGATTGAAATATGTTATTTTCCTAATTTGGTTATCTCTTTCAAAGTGCGTTGTTTAGACTTGGTATGCTCTTCTGATTTTTTCGTGCTTTGGCTGTTTGTTTTTATTTTGTTTGATACTCTTCTGATATTTTTTGTTGGTATGTTGACTTGTTTTTTGTTGATGTGTGTGTTTGAGTTTGGGTTCTTTGATGGTTTTTATGTTTGCTGTTTTGTTGGTATGCTTGTTTGAATTATTTAATGTTGTATGCTGTGATTAAATATTTTTGTTGCTGGTTGTGATTATTTATTTTGTTTGCTTGTTGTTCTGGATTTTGTTTTCTGTTTGTTGTGTTGCTGATGGAGAAAAACAAAGTAAAAGTAGAATTCCTAGAATTCTCTTTTACTATTTTTTTTTGGGGGGGGGGGCTGGGGGGGGGAGGGGGGGGGGGTCCACGGCCTGGAACATATATATTGTGTGCAGGGTACCCACCCTTTCTTGTGGCTTTGAAGGGAAACCAAGAGGATGACCGAAACCCGCTTTGGGACCCCTCAAAAGACACACTCATGTTCAGCAACCACTGTTGAGCTGGTTCCAACTTAAAAACCCAAATTTGGCCGGCTACTTTTGGGGGTTGGGGGCTGTCCCAGTTGGTTGCAAGAGGAAACGAGCTTCAGCTCCACGTTTCTCTCCAAGAAGCCAGCTACAGGAAAACTAATGCCAGTACTTAAGGATTTTACTTGTGTTGTCACATCATCATCGTCTAGCTTAAGAACATGGATTGTTACATGATGGCACAGAGGTTTCAAACATTCACACCAACAGACCCGCACAACTAAGAACCAAATTCATCAACATCAAATAACTACAACCATAACACACATTATGTCATTAGTTGTTGCAAAATGCAAAATTAAGACTATTAAATGACCATTCAACATTATCAAATGACCTTTAGACCAGGGTTTTGCCGTGAATCGGGGCACATCAACTTTAGGTGTATTGATTCACGAGTGTTCTGAATGTAGTTGGTTCACAATACTAGCGCAAGTGTTTATTTCACTTTGGAATTCGTGTAAAGAGACCCGTGTAAGTTCATGTTTCAATCTCGTTGTGTAGTGTTCAAGTCTCACAATGTATATCAATAATGTTGACATTGTTGTTTATATTGGTTTACAAATAATATCAACTGCTTCAGGCGTTATCATGTAAGATAACTGCATGCATATTGCCTTTCCTACTATCAGCAAAGCCCGACTATTTATGTTGAACTGCATGAATAATTATGTGCTGATTCTGAGGGATGATAAACTTATTCTTAGTCTTATTGTTTCGTTGTTAATTACATTATGAACATGTAAAAACTAATTTATCACTATTACTTATTACAATCATGTTTATTAGTCGTGGATTGTATCGCAACAATTTCAATTATATATAACTTAAGTGCTTCAATTCAGATCTATAATGTTGCTTCATATACGTGTATTTATCTTGTGTAATTGGTTTGTTGTGTTGCGTCGAAACTTCTTGCTGTGTTTCTTTGTTTAAAGTACCAGCTCTGCTGGAAATCCGTGATTTGGTGGGCATTTGGGCGGTAGTTCCCATTATTCTGAGGAAAACAAGAGACACAAAGGTCCCACACCTCCCATGAGCGCAGGCCACCCAGCAAATTGTGTCCGCATCTGGGTTGCTGATTCATTTGCGCCCTCCTTCCAAAAAGCAAACTATCACAGACTTAACGTGACATCTTCTACATCTTGCGGTTTACATAGCATGTCCAGCCAAAGTGACAAATGATCCCAAAACGGCCACCTTATGGAGAAGGATCCTTGTCAAATGCCACCGGAACTGGGTTCCGAAACAAACAAAAGGAAGGGACACGGTACACTGTCAAATTTGGTGTTTCACTAGGGGATCGGCTTAATCTGCTGCTACAGTAAATGTGAATTCCAAGGCCAACCCGGATTGGATTTTCATGTGATTTCCCCCCGATCGGTGATCTCGCAAATTGCGCAAACCAAGATCGAAGCATCTCGGTCAGCCTAGATGCTTGCAAACCAAACCACACTTCTGGCCCTACACGTTGGGAAAATCTTCGGCGGTTTCCTCGGGTCGACATCGCTTCCGCCGCCGCTTCCGGAAGCCGCCTGCAGCGGCGTCTTGTCCGCGCGCACGGCGCAAAGCAAGGGCGAGGTACCGTCGACCGATACGGCGTTGGGGCTGGCGCGGGCCTGGCGGTCGCCAGATCAGAAGGCAGCTGAGCAACAGGGTTCCCATATGGCTGTGGGTCAATAACCCCAAAATGGGTTGCTCTGGCAAATGGAAACATGGACTAAAACCTGCGATCCCCTAGTGGTTTAATTTTGACCCATACCCATGTAGCCATGGCTCAAAAGCCAAACAGCCCGCACCCCCGAACATCCCAATCTAAAATAGACTAAAATGGGTGGTGCACCTAGCCCAAATGGTACCATTGGCTTTGACCCACAGCCCATGTTTCTGCTAAAACATCACCCCTACAGGGCTCCAGCACCGTTTGGCACAACATGGCCGCGCAGGACAGCCAACAGGGAGACTCGCAGATGGGTTTGCTGGAGGAGGAGTTGAGCCGCGGGATGAATCAACCCTTGGAAGCTGCATCAGGAACTTAAACCCGGCCAGGCACTTTTGGTGACTCAGGCCTGGCAGAAACATGAACGTGATCCTAGGGAAACTCACCATAAATGGGCCAACATAGGTGATGCTTAAAACCACCAAATGGGGAAACGTAGGGACCCTTGAGCAACCTGCCCCCCAACACGGGCCTTTTGGAGTAGCCCGCAAAGTTTGGGCTCCTAGTCTCTCCTCAAGACGGAAAATGGGTAGAATTCCACAGGCCACCCCCCCCGACTTCCGTTTGAAGGGTAGCGGAAGGTCTCCAAATAAAAGGACCTGCTCAAAGCTTGTCACACAACTTGACATGGACCATCCAAATTGGTGGCTTCAGTTTCAGGTGAAGAGCTGAACAAGAAAACACCACCGCAGTGTGTCATGGTCACCGCTCCCTGACAAGAACCCCTCCGCACAAGCGGGCGGGTGACCATCTCTAACCAAGTCAGTGGGTCTGATGTCACCGGGGTGTCTGGGTGTCTTAAACTAGGACACTCCGAAAGAGCTGCTGTTTTTTGCCCTTGGGTTGCCTCCAAACTACCCTCAAGCACCGTCCCTCAGAAACAACAGAGCCAAACCTACACCTTTTACCCTCTACTCATAATACCCGCTATGTTCATTTTTTTGAAAACTTGCTGTTGTTTTCTTTTTGTGTTTCCATGGTAAATACCTCCTTTTTTCGTAGAGGGTCGACATGATACCCCGAAAAAAAAAACAAAAAAAAAGAAAACAAACTGGTATTTGGAGTAGGTACCTCAAATCAAACTCACCCAACATCGGTCTCACGTGACGTGAGGCGCTCAGCCATGGACTCAGAACCTATGGGTCACATATGGCGTTCAACAAAAAACGATTTCCATTTGCTACCCCTTTAAACCAACGATCCCCAAAGACAAAAGACACACCCGACTGACAAAGCTCATTTTTTTTCCGGAATGTTCTGTGTTATCTTCGGCACTCATGTCCTTTTGGCCTGGAAAAAGCGGTGGAAAAAGCGGTCTCTTGTTGGCACACGGCCTGTCAGGAAGTGTCGAAACTGGCGCTCTCCTACTTCGCGCCTTCAGGATTCATGGGAAGACAACACCAAGGAGGACGCATGGAGAGGTTTTGCCTCCTCTCAACGTGCTTGGTACACATACCCCATTTAAAAGCCCTCGCCATTCACCGCAGTTCATGGAGTCCAAAAGTTCCCCAAAAAATGCCTCAGGCGTCAAGAAGTGTCAGACCTGCAACTCGCCCCCCCCAATGCGAGAAACGCCCTGAATGTCCTGGTATCTTGCCATGGACCCTTGCAAACTTGGTCTGCCATATATACCCTGGTAACCTCTAGACCCCATTCGTGAACGGAACGAGAATCTAAACCAGTGGATCCCATCTAATTCTATCCAAACTCACCTAAGAAAACAACCCCCCAAGCCCCCACCCCCACCCGCACCCCCCACCCCACCCCCCCCCCTTCCCCTCCCAAGCCCCAAAAACCACTCCGCGCCTCCAGCAGCAGGCGGCACTCCTCCGGATTCCCCAGCTTCGCCGCCCACATCAGGGCGTTCCACCCGTCGGGGCTCCGTGCCTCCGAGAGGACTTCGGCGCCAGGGACACCCCGAAAGCGGGAGCCGCGAAGTTCAGGTCACAAACTGCGCGCCTTCTGACGCGCGTCTTTTGACTTCCCGCTGGCTCAACTGCTCCGCCCCAATATCTACCATAGTTGATTTATTTATAATTATGGGAAGTCCTGGATATAAAATCCCAACAGTTTTACCGGACATTGGCCAACTCACAAGGAACTGCGAGCTTTGTTCGATGCGTTTTGTGAGAGAACTTCGTTGTTGTTCGGGGGGTTGTGGGAGCTTGTTGGTGTGGTTGGATTGGGGGTGGCTTGTGTAAACATATTTGTCGCATGGCACGCTGAGTCCGAAAGGGTGCAATTACCTGAAATTATCGGACCTAATGCCCAAAACAAGAGCTTGCTTGAACAGCAAAAGGAGGCTGATTCCAGAGATGCTTAAAGCTTGAGCAAATTAAGTAACATGTTCAAGGTGAAGCGTCTGCCTCGCATGAGCCATGCCGAGCATGCAGGTGCACACACGACGGTGATTTTTTTCGGCAGGGTTCAAAGGAAAACAAAGAAATAGAAAAAACAAAACACTCAAAGGCGGCGGCACAATTTGGGGAAGCACCCAAGTGGCCCCCTGTATCACAAACCCAGCTGGGGTTCTTCTCACCTGGAGAATTGGGAGATGAGGCCACATTTCTCTCAGCGAATGTCCGCGGATTGCAACACCAAATGCTCGTTTCACCTTGCATAAACTTGGCGTGCGAGTTTCCAATCGATCACCTGGATGCTCGCTCCTGCACTTACAGCTTGCAGTCGTCCAATTTGCACGCCAGATGCAATCCTGACCTCACCTACTGGCCCTATCTGAAGCTATCTCTTCCATTGCTGCTAACCAAAAAATGTCCGGCAGCCAAAGTTCGGAGTCGCGATCTTGAGTTTCGACGCCACGATCCGCTCCTCGAGATCCGCCCTCTGCTCCAGCAGGGCTCGTAGCAGCTCGCCTGCGAAAGGGATTCAAATGAGAGACCCACATAAACGCACACAGGTTTTCTGTGTTCCCTTTAAGTCACCAGAACAATTGGGAAGTTCCTGTCGCTTACAAACTGCTATGGAATTCAAGGGGCTGGCTGCACTCAGGGCCTCAGGAAATTGTTTGACTTACAGTCGGCGAATGATTAGATTGAGTCAAAGCTTCGAAACAAGATAGCAGAAGCTTTGACTTAATCTTACTGCCTGCCAACTTTGAATTAATCAATGCGCACCCGCCGCGCCGGCCCCAACTGCCCAACTGCCAGACATGTTGCCCGACCGAGACCGACCGACCGAGACCGACCGACCGAGACCGACCGACCGAGACCGACCGACCGACCGACCGACCGACCGAGACCGACCGACCGACCGACCGACCGACCGAGACCGACCGACCGAGAGACCGACCGACCGACCGACCCGACCGACCGACCGACCGACCGAGACCGACCGACCGAGACCCACCCACCCACCCCACCCACCCACCCCACCGAACCCACCCACCCACCCACCGACCCACCGACCCACCGACCCACCGACCCACCGACCCACCGACCCACCGACCCACCGACCCACCGACCCACCGACCCACCGACCCACCCACCCACCCACCCACCCACCCACCCACCCACCCACCCACCCACCCACCCACCCACCCACCAACCAACCAACCAACCAACCAACCAACCAACCAACCAACCAACCAACCAACCAACCAACCAACCAACCAACCAACCAACCAATAATTAAAGGCCGACATGGGATAACAGAGCTGAGTTGGACATGGACACACAGTGGCAGCAGCAGCAGCAGCAGCAGCAAGATATCACGTGTATGTATATATATGTATATTTACTCAGTTCAATCTGCCTTGGCGACAACAGGACCAGTCGCCTAATGGGCAAGGCGTCATTGATTCAGCCTGGTTCAAGTCCACCCTGGTCCGTTGTTCATGTTTTTAATTCTATAATACCAAAAATATTCTCTTTTGCAAAAAAAAAAAACGGTCTCTTGGTTAGAAATATATACACATACATGCGCAACAGTGTTGATCCATCACCGATCAATCACATGAAAATCATCAATCCATGTCCAAAACCTGCAAAAAAAACTGGGAACCGCCTGTGTTTTTTGCCAAACCTGCAACAATGGGGACCCCAGGCAGTGGATCTGCTTGCTTTTCCGCTAAAACTTGCAAAACTGGGATCTGCAAGCAATCAGCCCTCGACCGGCGCGAGCATCGGCGCGATCGGCGGGAGGCGCATCCCCAGCCGTTGCGCCGGGAGCAGCAGGCCGCCGCCACCAGCGCGGAGTTGCCCATGGCGTCGGCGGCCCAGAGCTCACGCCTCGAGGCGACGGGGGGCCTCGGGGGCTGGGTGGTCCCGCCATAAGGGGGTGTCATGAAACTCCTGCCCAAAAAGGAAGCTGGGGTGCGTCATCCAAAAAACAAGAGGGTGTGTCCTGCAAAAGGAAGATGGGGGTGTGTCATCTATCCTTTTCCAGTTGCTTTTAGGGTACCCATTGCCTTTGTGGAGGGTTAAGATCCGGCCATTTCGGGCCCCCTAAAAGAAGAAGCCCCCCGAACGAGAAAATGGTCAGGGACCTTTGGTACAGGTATGGAAAAGACACTTGTTTCTAAAAGGTTTAAGGCGAATTGAAGACCCCGAAGACCATCCACATCGAAAAAGAGCCAATTGAGCCCGAATAAAACGTATTCAGGCTTGAGCGGCGTTAAAAACATGTCGTGGAATCCCATGGGCACACATCAACTTTAATCTTGAGTTCAAGCCCTTCAAAAGAAAGGAACCGGTTATGTTCCCAGGATTCAAACCCCTCAACCTCCCCGTTCCCCGTTTCCTCAGCCCAAAAAACGGATCTCCACGAGTTCTCGGATCTGGAGATTGCAATCCTTGCCTCTGAGCTTCCATCCCAAAAACCCAATGGAGACCAGAAATGCACACATCCGGGATCTATGTGACCGTTCAACTTCGAAGCCAGAGAAGCAATGTGTGTATTTTTGGCCAAACAAAACGGACCCCAGGGACCCCAGAAATGCTTGACATGGCTTCGTTGTTGCTGTTGTCGTTCTATGTTTGTCTTTGTAACAAGCCAAGGAGAGAAGGGCCCCGAGCCGCAGACCTTCCAAGGCGGTCCGTGTTTTTTGCCATCTTGACGACAGCTTCTTCGGGCAGGTGCCTCATTTGCGTGCCTCACCGGTTGCATCTTTGCTGATACCTGCGAAAGGGCAACGTTGTGCGACCCGGGTTTGGCTCACTATGAAAGGGCACCTTTGAAGCGGCGCTTTTTGGACGAAGCACAAGTTTCGGGCTCGCGGAAAAACAAAAACAAGAAAGAAAAAAAGGTCTTGGTATACAGGGTTGGTTCCCTATATTTCCCCGCAAAAATATCACTCCTGCGAAGGGAAAAACTCGTGTTTTCCATGGAACCCAAAGGTGATGTTTGCAGCCAACCTTTGAGGGAAAATATCCAGACCCCCGCCCGTAAAACCAACCGCCAAGGGACACATACAAGATATGGGTATGAATTTTAGTTAGGACTCTTTGGTGGACATCATTTGCGTCCACCAAGCACTTTTCAGGGGGTTGCCCTATTAAAATTCCTAGCCATACATAGGCTCAGTTGTTCAGTGACCCTGGAAAAAAAAGAGGACCCTTTTTGGGGAAGACCATGTTTAGTGGAGCAGCCACCCAAAAAAAAAGGAAAAATAATTGGTGCCACCGAACAACTGAGTAGGCGCCCCACCCAAAGGCCCCGCGCCATCGATCCCGCCTGTCCGCCAGCTTCGCCACCGCTACGGCGCGGCGCACCGCGTGCTCCGCGCAGCCAGCGGCGCCGCCTACGGCGGCGATCTTGGCGAGGCACAGCTCGCCCATCTGCGCCGCTAGCCAAGGCGCGTCCTGCGGGAAGTGAGATATCTGGCCGTAGTTGTCAAAAATAGGAGCCCAAAAATGGGTTGCCCTGGTAAATGGAAAACTTGGGCAACCTGCGGTTTCCTGGTGCTTTAATTTTGACCCACAACCATCTCCCTGCCTGAGTTGAATGATTGGCCAGAGAAGGTCCATGTCCTTGTTCTTCTTTTGACCGCTCGAATGGTCCAAGCGACTCAAGTCCGAAACGGAACTCGATCGGAAGTGAGAGGTGCCGCAAGCGCTCAGCAGCAACGTCCCAGCGAGTCTGCGGCACTTGTCCAAACTTGTCCGCCGAGAGGTTGAGTGGCTTGTCAAAATGTCTCCCTTAATGACCATCACACGGTATAATACTCCACAATCACGACCGTGAAACAATGTTGTAACAAGGGCACACTTGAGTGCAAGCCAGTGTATACCAACATACGATATCCACAATGCACTCATGACAATGTCCAACCAAAGACGGCATGGTATTTTTGCTTACAAGAGGAGTGCTGTTTGCATCAGGACTTTGGATAAGCAACTCTTCGTGCAGCATCTTCCTAAAACACAACCCGGTTGCGGTACGCTGACATGAAAAAAAACAAAAAGGATGACCAATTGGGCAAGTGCCCGGTAATATGACGAATACGCAGTTGACCCGGATGAAACCGGCCAACACCTAGCGGGTCTTCCCCAAAACTGGTTTGGATTCCCCAAAAACCCGCAAACTTAGATGTAACTACTGTCGTTGCGTCCATCATTGAAGTTAGGGGTGTACCAAACGTGGACTCAGAGACGTTGCATTGAGAGACATATTAGATTTAACGACCCCTGGACCCTCTGGTGTAATCTAGTTTTCTTGGTCCTACCAAGCTGTAACAAGTGGCTGGTTCTTGTCGAAGGAGCAGTGCCGTAGCGAAAGAAGCCATCAAGTTGAAATTGAATCCACCCATTTGGGGGGGGGAAACAGCAGCATTTAGAGCTAGGATCACACCGGGCAAACTGCCCCTTACCACCCAACCTTGCAATCTCTTTGTGCCATTAACATGATTTAAGCTGAAACCACCAGTTGAACACCTCACAATGTTGGTCCCGAACAAAAAGCGACACACCCGTTTGGCGGTCCCATCTGAATTGGTCTCGGGCAAGTTTCCCAGCGCATCCATTTACCTGTACAGTAGGTAACGGGTTTGCAACTGGGATCTACTGGGCTCTTCATCCCAGGCAACTTTTCCAAGCAGAAAGCCCAGACAGCGCATCCGTATAGTAGGTAACCAAGGGAACCACCTTTTAAATACCAGAAAGGAAACTAGCTGGTTACCTATGTGGGTAGCCGCCTGGGAGAATAGCTGGGGCTTGCCAACTTTCAGGGGGTTTCCTTCATTTCAATCATGAACAAATGGTGGGCGAAATAGAAATAGCTGGCTGCCTATGGGCAACTAAACATCCACTAACATTGCCACATTTCAGTGGGGGTTTCTTCATTTCAACCACCAAAGCGTCTTTTTTTGGTGGCACCTAGTACCCGGCTCTCAAGGGCAACCAAAGGGAAAAAACCAAAAACCACGGGGGAAGTCGAAGTCGAAATCGCCCGGGTGCGGACCCCTCCGCTTCGCGCTTCTTGTCCTCCGCCGCGAACTGCACCGCGCGGGGCGTGAGCTGCGCCAGCGCCGCCGCACAGAGGCCCCGCAGGGCGCAGGCCTCGAGGCCCAGCGCCGGCAGCAGGAAGCCTTGGGCGAGCGGCTGGGCAGCGGGTGGCGTCCGTCCAGGACTTTTTTCGCCCGGACAGAAGCGAGGCGCCCAGCCTTTTCACGTGGAACCTGAAGTTTTGGGGGGTTCTGGGGAAAAAAACATGAATGACGGAATCCAAGAGTGATGGACTGGTCAAGGAAGTCGATATTTTTGGACATATCTGCACTTTTTGTCTGAATGGCTTGTTTGTGAGGTCCCTTGAGCAATTCATCGAATTTCTCTATAGGGTTCGGAGGTCTGCTTTGGAGGGGGCATGACCGTTAGGGCTGGTGTTAGAATTGATGTAAGGTGTTCAAGACTCCGGGAAAGTCTCCAAACTCCAAAACCAACGCGCCAGGGGGGTTGGGAGAGAACTTCACGAAGTTCCTGGAGATGGTTTCTTATTGGGGGAGGGGCTCCCCCAAGTGCATGTTCCTCTCAAAAGGGATTTCTAAGCTAGACCTTATCTCAGCGCGGCTATCAGCAGGAACTATCTCAGCTTTGCCCTCCGAACATGTCCACACTTAGATTCTTCCATGAACCTAAGAATGTGGAGGGATATCAATGAGGTGCTTTCCTGGCTCCTTCAGGGCCGCAACCAGGGATGGTCCTTCAAATGGCGCCACCCGCGCGCAAAAACACGATGTGCTTGCGACTTCTCAGCTCTCGCGCCCAAGCAGCTCAGCACTTGAACGACCACCGCCTCCGGCTCCTTCGGTTTGCCCCCTAAAAAACCGTCTTTTAGCCATGAAGGTCGACTCAGTCCCCAAGTGGTGGCTTACCCACGAAACCGATTTCCCGATTTCTTCTTCCCGTCCGAGGAGCCCAAGACCTGAAATATGAGACCCCACAGACCTTACGTCGTGAGGTCTTGGGCTAGGGCCAAGCATTCAGTCCATGGGAAGTCTTTGCCTATGAGGCGATGTCAAACAAAGTCATGGGACCCATGGACCCGCTTCGGGACCCTGAGACGGCGCCAAAAAGTCAGGGTTCCAAAAAGTTTGTAGGCCCCAAAAACCATTCAACGTGCATGTCAAACAACTGGTCAGAGGCTTGGCAACAACCTATTGAGCCACTATGCAACCATGGGAGCAACCGCCTACAAACTGGTGCCAACTGGACTCTGTCCATCGGTATCTTCCCAGGCCATGAGCAGGGGTCACTGGATTTCCCCACCCAAAAAAGGTTGATCAATCGACTGGTGGTTTCCATGGAAACGATCGCCACTTTTGGAGGTTCCAAAAGGTGACATGGCTGTGGGTCAAAACCCTGTACCTCTGGGACTCTGGTGAACATCAAAATTCATCCACCCCAAAATGGAGCCATAGGTTCTGCCCCATGGCCACATGACGGAAATTCTGGCGAAACCGACCGGAGCTCCTTCACCGCGAGAACCGCGGCTGCCGCCTTTGCCGTGGCCGTCGCGGCCTTGGCTGCTTTTGCCTCAGGCGGCCAGGCGTTTTTTTGAGGCAGACCCAATACAGAATCTGGGGCACTGTACACAGGAAATTCCTGTTTCAGGGGGTGAAGGTGGTGTCTGATCATTCTTTTTGTGCTGGCCATGGTTCTGGAAAATCGCCGGAAATCTGCAATACCAATATGGGTCCTCAGTGACCGTACTGTATCACACTGAATGGGGACTCCCTTCATATCTCAGAAATGGCCCTCAAACCCAACTACAACCTTACCCCTCGGGTGGTTTGGAGATTTAGGGGGTGGCTTCCGACTTACCCTCTAAGCCAGGTCCTCCAGTAGGGAGGTTAGGGTACCCGCTTCTTTTGTTAGTCTATAGGAGGGGAGCCCTCCCCCAAGTAAGAAACGGAAGGGCACCAATTGCTGGGGGACTTATGGGAACGCCATTGACCCCCCCGCGCCTTGGCACCTTCCCGCAGCGAAACCAGCGCCGCGCACACGGCGAGCGCCAGCAGCAGCCAGCGCTTGTCATCCATGGCGCGTGGAAAATGGCGGGGCGCGGTGGAATAGTCTCACCCAAACGGGAGGGGGCGAGGGAATGGACTGCTTCAGTCCGCATGGGGCAGAACACCAGGAAATGTTGGTTCATCTTTGTAGGCGCGAAATGTTTGACATTTGTGATAAATGGGCCCCTGAGTGATGTATGGTTGTTAGGATAACACAATCCAGACATGGTTCATAGGCAAAACCGTATGGATAGAAAGCTGCGCAGTGCCAGCCTTGAGTCTCGACCCTGGAAAACCCCAACTCCAGACGAACAACAATCAAACATTAAGGGGCTCCCAAAAAATATTGGAAAAAATAAGAAGGGGGGGTCTGACTGAGGTGTTAGGTTTGGTGGGTGAGAGTGGTTCCTTCTTTGCCAAACCAACACACTGATCAGATTTGTCAATAGCTCAAAATCCACTCAGATCTGCAGGCCGCAATTGCTGACCCGAGATGATGTGCCAGCTCAGACCGTTTTTTTTCTTTTAAATCCTTCCGCTTGAGCTGCAATCCATCGATGTCGAGATGGAGCCTATCGTCAGAGTTGGCAGGTTCGGTTAAAACAAAAAAAACAGGGGCCGTCACTTCGCTTGAGTCGCCTGCTCAATCAGTGCCTTTAACAGCTACTCGTGTTGATGCCAAGAAGCAACCTGCTCACACTCGCGAACCCGGTGGAAGTCTGACCCTTGACCCTCGAAGCAAAAGCTTGGCTGGCACACTACGCAACCTGACATCATACACAACACCCACAAAAAGCACACAGTACAAAGTGGCACTGCACAGAACACAACCGTCTGGTTTTAGACAAACGCTTGGGAAAAGCCCCTGAGCGGGCGTGTCTTAGTTTCAGCTAAGCTGCTGCTGCATCTTTGGGGTACCCTCCCACCAATTCACACGGAACCTGACAGGTGGTCTCTTTACAAGGACATGGTTTTCTTCCAGGACCCCCCGAACGTCAGGTTCCATGTGAAAAGGCTGGGAGGGTACACTGGGCAAAGGAAAGCTTCTGCTTGGAGGCCCAGGCTTCAAACAGGTTTTGTTCAAAAGACTCTTCACTACAGCTGCAAACACAAGCCCTGGGCTATCAAGCCATCGACAAAGGGTGGCCAGTCTCTCGGCATCCCTCCTATCCATTTTTGTCGAATCATGTTCAAACGAAACCATGATTCAAACAGATTATGGGGGGAGTCAGACAAAAAGTTCAGAGAGACAGAACAAAAGACACCTCGCAGGTGAGTTCGATCCCCTGTAAAGATTGCGATTTGCATTGTCCTAGTGAACCTGTGCATATATAAATACATTGTATCATATTGATACGACATAATGTATGAAGCTGCAAATGGAGGTGACGGAGGGAGGTTGAAACCGTGGTCAACGCCTTTTATAGGCGTCATGGCTTGTCTGCAGAAATCCCAGAAAGGATGCCAAGCTTGCTACAAGCGCAAATCTCTCTCTCTCTCTCTTGCGGGGCGGAAACACGGGGCCAAGTGACACCATTGTTCAATGGCATGTTTAGGTATGGCTTTGGGAGGTATGCAGGTTCTGTCTACCACTTAGATAGGGGGTATACTGCATTATAAGCTTATATAGGTGGTAAATAAGCAACCCATACCTCCAAAAACCCATACCTGGAAATGATTTTGAATTTCGAAGGGTCGCATGTTTTAGGTAACACTTACACATGTATCCGAGAGCCCTGAAGTGGAACAGTTTCCTTTTGGCCCCGGTAACAGGAAGACGAGGCGCCAAGGCCATGTTTGTCCGCGGGCGGTTTGCCACGTCCCACGCGGGCACCTTGCCAATGTTGCAAGCTGCGAATTGTCACAAGCTGCGGCCGGACCAATCCAGCAGCGCCGGCGATCCAAATGTTTTTTTTTTTTTTTTTTACAGAACTCTCCTGGAACCATTTGCTATGTGGCTGCAATAGCTTATATAAAGCCGTTACGCACCCCCAAATGGCTGGGGTGGAAACTCCCTGCCCACAAAGGTGTTTTTCTCCCATATGGCAATGTGCCAATGAGCTGTTTCCGAAAGAAACTGTTCATGAGCCAACATAAAACAGGCCGTCTTGAGGGTGCTAGTGTTGCCACCGACCCACATGTCCCATGCAAGCATCTCCCCACAAGACAGAAGGAAGCAGGTAAGACAAAGTCCCGTTCGTGGCTCAGCAAAAACAAAGGTACGCGAAACGACGGGATCTACGAATATGCGTTTAATTATCCTAAAGGATATGGGCATAGTCTCCTGGGTTTTGCGTAAAATATCGTCACTCCCACACATTCCTCGCAAATAGCCTATAATACATAATTTGACATTTTGACCGAACCGCCATTGGGCATACCTAAAAAACAAAAAAACACCGCGCCACGTTAGATGCGCTCAAATTACATAAAACGCCACCCAGTGTGACTGTGCCCTTCTTCTACCTCGGTAAAACGCACATAATTGTCTTCTGGCCCATATTTTGCGAACAGGTGAAATGTAAACAAAAGAGCATAGGTGTGCTCTGCATCCTTTTGATACCAACCGTTGCAACACTGCCAAAACAAAAACTTTTGAAGGGAAGTGGTAACCTCGAACCCGGGATCCACAAGTCGGATCCGCCCCCGCAACCAGCCAGGTCTCAAAAAATAGAAGAAAAAAAAACGGTTGGTCAATCCATACCGAATCCATACCCCAGTTGGGTGATAGCTTAAAAAGGCTCATAGAAACGAGAGCAAAATATTTGTTGAAATCCCCTTCCTGGCGCCGGCAGTTGTCGCATTCCACACCATGCAGGCCTACCTTTCACTCCCGAGAGCCAACCTCAGACGTGCGAAGAGAAGAAACTCGACACCGGTCTGTGGAAATGAACGGGGTCTGAACATGGTGACCTTTGGTGGATCTACCCCAGACCTGGGAGTTCAATAGGATGTACCCCAGACCTAGGATCGAAAATATGCTATGATCATTTAAGGTCACCTATGGAAATCAAAAGGACACAGGGCCAGTCAAGCCTGTAAGCAAAACGTTTGGCCAGAGCAGGACACCGAAAGAAACACCAATTTTCCTACCCTTGCGGTTGGGATAACTGTCGCAATGACTTGTTGAATATTACCCCCCTGAGATAACCAAACCGGTTGCCAGCCAAATCCCGTGTCGCCTGGCTTGGTTTTCGCAACATATCGGGCGCGCAATGCCTGCGGAAGCACGCGCGCTTAGTCTCATAGGTGCGGTGTTCTTCTTCAAGCATCACCAGCGGTGCAAAAAACAACATGCAAACCAAACAAGGTCCCCCCATTTTTGGGGGGGCGCTTCCATCTTTAGATGGCGAGTTCTCCCAACTAACATAGCGCCTCACAGAAGATGCATTGAAGAGGAAGTTGAGCCTCCAGGCACCCTCCCACAGATGCTATGGTTCTAGGGGTTGATTCCAGCTCCATTCTTTTCAACCATCGTTCTTTTCAAAAACCAGATCTGTTTCCCCAGGGTTTTGGGTGGTTTTGTAGAAAGAAGGATGCCTGGAAAGAATGGGGAAGGTACCCCTAGAATGTTTGTGGGAGGAAGGGTGTAGACCTTGAGTTCCAGGTTCATCAGCGGACTACATTCAGCCCAGATGGACGTGAGGTTGCTAAGTGTGCTGGCCGGCTGTCGGGCGGAGCATGGCCAACAACAAAAGCAGGTTTGGGAGCGTAGCATATCGGGTGCCAAAGGAATACGCAGAACATCAGGTGAGAAATCAAAGCGTCGCCTGCCTCCTAACTTCCAAATGCAGGCCCTGCAAGTGAAAATGGACCCCAAACGAATCGGCCGAGGGATCTCTTTTGGATGGCATCGTGTTGGACAACATGCTCATTAAGGAGGTAGCTTGGACGTGATTGTGCGTAGCTTGGAAACCCCAGTGTCTGAGTGTCTGGGGAGTCTGAGCAGCCAGGAAGAGCTGCTCAAAAGCAACTGCAACATTGAGGCACTCAAAGCATGGTGCTCCTGGAGTTGATCGCACCAATTACAACGACCTCTCTTCGGGTTCTTTCAGGAATCGGACCCCGTGGCTCAAATGGGTGTCTTTTTGGGGGGTACCCCTTCTTTGGCGCTTTGAAGCTGAAACCAAAAGGACACCTTTTCTGGGCTTTCAACATGGAGGCTTGGCCAATCCGACGTTCCATCAAAAGGGAGCCAAACAAAGCCTTCCGCAACCCAAAGGCAAGGACTGGCTGTGGGTCAAAAATGGGTATCCGGTTTGGAACCCTAGTAAATGGAACCAAGGACTAAATCTGCGTTAATTTTGACCCATACCCAAGGACTACCTTTGCGCAGCGCAGCTTTGACCCATGTTGGGTGACCAGCCGCACGCTGAGGCTCCGGCCATCCGGCAACATTTTGCCCTAGAGGCCCTAGAGGCTTCCTTCAGGCCGGGAATGCTACGGGAAGGCCCGCCCTCTCAGCCAACTTCTGTCCCACCTGTTGCTTCCTGGGGTTCAACCATTCCCTTTAAGTTATAAGTACATTTCGGGCTTGCAACTGGGGCTGGCCCTATGGAGGGCTTGGCTGACAGACTGATGCTCGTGAAAGTCGCCTTGCTGTAACTCACCAGTGCGTTGGCCAGAAGCCTAAGCTCGTGGTTTATCTTCCCCGTAAAGAAAGGAAATAGCAAGAAAAACAAAGTCTAGCAACTCAGGGGCTTATCATTGACATGGTCTTCCCCTAACTAAAAGAAAAGAAAAACAAGTCCCAGCAACTCAGGGAGTGAGCCAAGGACACTGGCCATCTTTGCCTGGTCAATCCAGTTCGACTGTTCAAACGCTTACTTTTGGTCTGCTGAATGAAGACAACCAGTCGGAAGAGACTCAGTCCGTGAACTCGTGAGGCAAAAACTCCATCCCCCGACGCCGAACCCGTCGCACAGAACCCGTCGCTTCCCGTGCAATCTTGCAGATTCTGTGCACACATGCAGAAAACAGCCGAAGGCACTCGCAGAAGCTTGAAAGCCGCACTAAGAGTGCACCCAGCCCAGGTGAATCGGTGCATTCCAACAATGCCACTACCGTAAAAGGTCC